ATTAAAATGCTGTGTGCAAAAATCAATGTGGTGCAAGCCAACAACAACAATCATAAGACAATTTAGATTAACCATATGTTTTCGAATCACCAAAATAAAGCTATAAAAACAATGTAACAACAATAATCATAGGAAGTGTGATTTTAAATTTAACAATAAACGATATACATGACACGTACGACAAAACCTGCAGCCATAGCTGGCAGCACGACACTCCCAGTGTATGATGTGTGAGTGAGTGAGTGTATGATGTGTGAGTGAGTCAGCAGCAGTGTGAGTGTATGATGTGTGAGTGAGTGAGTAAGTGCATGATGAGCGAGTCAGTGCATGATGTGTGAGTAAGCGCATGATGAGTGAGTCAGTGCATGATGTGTGAGCGAGTCAGTGCATGGTGTGAGTTAGTCGGTACATGGTGTGAGTGAGTCAGTACATGGTGTGAGTGAGTCAGTGCATGGTGTGAGTGAGTCAGTGTATGATGTGTGAGTGAGTCAGTGCATGTTGTGTGAGTGAGCCAGTGCATGGTGTGAGTGAATCAGTGCATGGTGTGAGTGAGTCAGTACATGGTGTGAGTGAGTCAGTGTATGATGTGTGAGTGAGTCAGTGTATGATGTGTGAGTGAGTCAGTGCATGATGTGTGAGTGAGCCAGTGCATGGTGTGAGTGAGTCGGTACATGGTGTGAGTAAGTCAGTGTATGATGTGTGAGTGAGCCAGTGCATGGTGTGAGTGAGTCAGTGTATGATGTGTGAGTGAGTCAGTGTATGATGTGTGAGTGAGTCAGTGCATGGTGTGAGTGAGCCAGTGCATGGTGTGAGTGAGTCAGTGCATGGTGTGTGAGTGAGTCAGTGCATGGTGTGAGTGAGCCAGTGCATGGTGTGAGTGAGCCAGTGCATGATCTGTGAGTGAGTCAGTGTTTGATGTGTGAGTGAGTCAGTGCATGGTGTGAGTGAGCCAGTGCATGGTGTGAGTGAGTCAGTGCATGGTGTGAGTGAGCCAGTGCATGGTGTGAGTGAGTCAGTGCATGGTGTGAGTGAGTTAGTGCATGATGTGTGAGTGAGTCAGTGCATGATGTGTGAGTGAGTCAGTGCATGATGTGAGTGAGTCAGTGCATGGTGTGAGTGAGTCAGTGCATGGTGAGTGAGTCAGTGCATGGTGTGTAAGTGAGTCAGTGCATGATGTGTGAGTGAGCCAGTGCATGGTGTGAGTGAGTCAGTGCATGGTGTGAGTGAGTGAGTCAGTGCATGGTGTGTGAGTGAGTCAGTGTATGATGTGTGAGTGAGTCAGTGCATGATGTGTGAGTGAGCCAGTGTATGATGTGTGAGTGAGTCAGTGCATGGTGTGAGTGAGTCAGTGTATGGTGTGTGAGTGAGTCAGTGTATGATGTGTGAGTGAGTCAGTGCATGGTGTGTGAGTGAGCCAGTGGATGATGTGTGAGTGAGCCAGTGGATGATGTGTGAGTGAGTCAGTGCATGGTGTGTAAGTGAGTCAGTGCATGATGTGTGAGTGAGCCAGTGCATGGTGTGAGTGAGTCAGTGCATGATGTGTGAGTGAGTCAGTGTCGGGTCCCTCTGCTCGCGCCGTCAGCCTCCCCCCCCAGCTCCGTCGCCCCCCCCAGCTCCATCGCCCCCCCCCCAGCTCCGTCGCCCCCCCCCCCCCAGCTCCCTCGGCCCCCTCACAAATGGCCCCGCCAGCCGCTGCTGAGAGCACTCCCGGGAGCACGCGTGTCTCAGGCGGCTATCTTGCTCGACATTGCGCTTGCCCGTGTCCACGTGCGACGGCGTGCTGTGTAGAAGGCTTCGTGCAAGGGCACGTAGGTGCCACTACTTTGTTTCATCAAACCTATGTATTTATTAACATATAAAACAAACATTTACGACGTGCCTCAGTCTTTGTTTCAGCCTGCGTGCGCATCTCGCGTGTTGTCGCAGATGTTGGTCGCCACTGATGTAAGCCGTGGTCAGGAATCACCCCTCAGGCAGGCCATCAGGTTCAAAGTGCCACCTCTACTCCTCCCTCCCAGCTCCAGTTGCTTCTTATCGAGTGAAATAAAGTCTAGTGGTGGTGATGATGATGATGATGCTGCTGCACTATCTTATCGTCATTTTGGAATAAATCCAAAATGACGATAAGGAGCCCCTACATTTTTTGTTTGTTAAAAACCACGTAAATATTAAAAGACAAATGTTTGACTGCAGGTATTGTGGTTAATGCAGACATGAATCCTTGTAAAAAGGTTTCTGTTTTGTTGCCAGAAAAAAGGGGCAAACCCCTATTATTGCATAGTTAAGTTATTGGGTTTTTTTTTCATTTGCTATACAGCCAGATAATACGACAAATCGCTAACCTTTAACACCCAGTGGTTCATAAAAGTTGAAGTCAGTATAGTACTATGGTAATAGAGCAAGTGCAGAGTCACTGAACCGGAATTGATAGCTTGAAAGCATTTAGCGCGGGGCCCTTGAAAGTGCGGGGCCCGTAGCATTATGTAGCTACTTTTGCTACTAGGATAATCCGGCACTGTGCAAAAGTCAATCAGGGTCGGTGTTGAAACTCGCGTTACCCAACGGTGACAATTGGCGCGTCGTTAAATCGCAAAACGACGTGGGTTCATATTCGGCAATGTCCAAAGGCCACCGTTACACCACCATCATCATTATCACCATGACTCTACTTGCGTTACAAATTATAATAATAAATTCACAGCGATGTGTCGATCCACTGCAAGATGATGTCCTTCTCGCGCCCAAGGAAGGCCTAGGGATCTGTTGGAATTGTGATTCGCCGCTGAAGTCAGCCGTGGCTGGGAATCGAACACAGGGTGGGCCGAGTTGAGAGCAAAGTGCACAGAATTACTTCGCCACCACTCCACCTTTGGCGCAGCAGCATCACAGCACTCAATGCGCATCGCGTACGCCGTGTTTCGCCCATCTCACTGGCAATACCAGCCGCACTTATCGGGTACTAGAGGGGAGGGTGGGGGATGTAGGGGCGGGGGGGGCAGTGTCAATGTGCGTCAACGCCGTCAGCAGTTAAATCGTGCTCGATCACCTCCTGCCTTTCAAGTAACTCTTAAGTTGATCGTAAAGTCATTTTAGAGCTTTTCAAACCCCCCTGTTCACACGATAATACAACGTGTGTGATGTGTTTGTGTGTTTTCGGCCCCTCCACGCCTCCTTCCCCCCTCCCCCCTAACTCATAATCGTCCTTGGACTCGTCTTAATGGCACAGCATTCTCTCCTGAAATATTCGGGGTGCTAGAGGCACAAACAAGCGTCGGTTATACAAGGAGACCCCCATTCATGATGAGGTTTGAGTTGATTTGAGTTCATGTCGGAATCAGAATATTTATTCTGTAGAAATCCGATGAGCTAGGAAGCTTTTTTTTTAAATTTACAGATGTCTAGATGAGGCGGGTCAGAAAGTTACAACAAATACGGATGATCCCGGATATTTTACATGGGAGATCCCATTGTACTGCGTGATTGTAGCAATAACAATGACGACGAAAAAAATCAACATATAAGAGAAACGAGTGCATGTACTCGTCTACTTACGAACGAGTTAGGTTCCGGAGGTCTGTTCGTAAGTCGATTTGTTCGCAAGTCCCAACTTTACTCCTGTCGATTCCAAACATGTTGTACGGCATGTACACTAAACACGGGGTTTGGATTTAAAAGTTGTATAATCTCAAGCAGATGTAGATGCCACTGGTTCTTCATGTTCTGCAGATGTAGATGCCACCACCGCCATCTATTGCACGGCGGTTGAACTTACGACTCTCGGTCCTGACAGGCAACTGGACATACGGACACGTTTGTTCGTATCTCTGAAAGTTCGTAAGTCGAATGTTCGTAAGTAAAGGAGTCCCTGTACAGGGCCCTGAATGAATATCGCACGACGATTTAACGAGGTACTTGATGGATAGCCAACTAAAATAACAAAGATACGCTTGAGAAACGACAAAAACAATTTAAAGACGCCCACGAATCTCTTATTATTAAATCTTGTACCACTCTGGAAGACATAGCCATCACTGTCACAGCCATTCAATTACCGATTGAGAAGAATAATACGACGGTTAGCAGGGTCACTGAATCAGTGGGGTGGTCTCAATAAGAGGGGATATGTGGGATGAGGTTATGGGGTTGTTGTAGGAATCGCAGAGTTGGGACATTGGAGGACAATTGACAGGGATGGAGTGAGCGGTGGAGTCGATGGCCGGCAGCTACTTCCAGATGCGGGGGTGACTGAAGGACCACCCACGTAGACGACTGCGTCACGTACATCCTGGTGATGTTCTAGGGAGGGTCAGAACGCTCTAATCTGGAACAAGAATAACCTGCTGGTACGGGCAGCAGCAGCAGCAGTCATGGTCCTGGATCACCGCCTCCACAGGGCAGCCCGTTCTCTCACAGGGCACGATCGTGCGATGTGATCCATCCAGATGAACTTCCACTCATCCGTGTTCTTTGGGTCTTTCGGTAAAGTCACGTGGATTGCTTGTGTTGCGATCGAAACGTCGTGATATTTTTTATTGTATTATTTTATTGTTATTTGTTTCTATCTACGTCACTTTAGCGAAAGACCCAAAGCATATGAATGCCTGTAGTCACGAAAGCTTTAAGTGAACACTCATATACCTGTTTATAATACTCTTTGGTTCTATTGGGTAAAGTCACGTAGGTGAAAATATTTATAAAGTCACGTAGATGAAAATATTTTCACCTACGTGACTTTACCCAATAGAACCAAAGAGTATGGATCCTAGCAGTCACGAAAGCTTTAAATCTAGAACCTGTTTATAAACCTCACACAAGCATGACGCCACTCAACCACTCATCCTTCCAGCCACCCCATCCCCCCAACCCAACCCACTTTGCCACTCTACCCCCTGCTCCATCCAACTCCCCCCCCCGTACCACCTCCACCACCCCCTTCAACCACCTCCCCACCTTTGCCACCACCCCCCCCCGTCATCAACTCCTCCCCACCCCCACCAAATTAAGCCGGAGAGTTGGAAGCGGGTGAGAGTCGAAGAGTCCACAGCTCTCGCCTCTCCGGTGCTCCGTGTCTGCGAGCCACTCTTCCACGGGCTGACTACCACCCCCTCGCCTCCTCTGACGTAAGTGGAGCGGTGTTTTCGTTGTCGTGGTTAACGCGTGGATTTGCGTGACAGAGTGGCTGGGAGGTGGGGATGACAATCGAGCGATGTGACGCTGTGGGAAAGATGATGGCTCATTAACCTCTCTGGAAGTGCGAAATTGTGCAAAAAACACATCACTCAGACAAAGACGCGCACAAAGACAAAGCCCCCCACCCCCGGATAGCCCGAGCGGACTTCTCGGGTAAGTGCTGTTAGCGAGTCACCTATGAAGGCCGGCACGGCACACGAAGAGGTGGGTGGTCAGCACCACGCCCGACCACCTTTGTCTCCCTAGTGGCGATGTTTTTTTTTACGCATTGCACCAGGTACTCGTCTGTGGATGAGTCGACCTAAGGGGATCCCTACGCTCGACCCAGACTATTGACACTGCAGCTTAACCGCATAGAGATACACAGATCCGCACACACTCGAACACGCAAACACGCAATTCTTAAATGTCCCATTACTTATTGTCCATGTCACTTTACTGCTGTTCTTTGACGTTGATAGTTGAGCAGTTAATGTGTCATCTTCACATATCTCTCTCCACATTACAAATTAAAGTTACATTTTTATGAACACAACCCCATCTTCCCCAAAGAATGTGTTGGCCCTGACTTCGCTGATGAGACATTGAATGTCAAAACCGGCCCAGATTTTTTTGCTTGTAACGACGGCTCAACGCTCCCGACGTTACGCGATCACAGAAGGCCTTTCTTGGGGCGGTCCAGTGTGGATTACGCGGTACAATTTTGCTCTCTTATTTATTTAGCGTGGAGAGACGGACATGTGTTGAGGAGGCAATATCGCCTGTTGGTTTATTTCGTTACGGTATGTGCATCCTCCACTGCGACGTTAAGGATCGTGTCCGTGTGCTGTGTACCCGGAGAACGCGGAGTGTCCGCTCGTTCGCGTGCGCCTTGCTCTTTGGAGATGCTCAAATCATTGACAGACCACTCGCCACCAGCTCAAGGGCAGTGTTCCTTCTGGGGCACTCGTGCGTACTAAAGCGTAACCAGCCACAAAACTAAGACGATGGAACTCTTTATATATGTTTCTTTAAAATGTACTCAACCTAAAGTTTTGATGAGGTCATAGCGTGTAATGGTCAGCGCACCGGACTTGCAATGCAGAGGTCACCCGTTCGATCTTCAGGCGTGGCAGTTGAAACAATGGGCTTTGTTGTTGTTAAATACCACCCTCCCACCTTCCTCCATCGCTCCTTCACCTCTGTCAACCCAGCAAGATGAATGGGTCTTCTTCTTCTTCTTCCTCTTCCTCTTCTTCTTCTTCGTTCGTACGGCTGATGTAGATGCGGAGCAACGACTCCAATTTCACAGTCGTGTTTGTGGATCGGGCGTTGCGTCGTTATAGATTGTGCAGTCTCTTCTGGATGACCACAGTCGCACACAATTCTGGCTTTCACCTAATGAGGCTGGTTGTAAGCATTGACGAAACGTCGTACTCGAATTGTAAATGTTTCGGGTTTGCTCTACAACACATCGGTGTGCTGAAGTAGTAACTAATTGGCACGTTTTGTTGACGTGACAACCCTTACTGATACTGGAGAGTTTTTTTGTAATTTTCCATTTGTGCATCAGGTATCCCCATGGTTTGTGCGGATGCGGTTTAGGGTGGACCGTGAGCTTCGTGGAAGATAAAACCCAGAGATACTCTGCGTTGGGTGTTTGTGGGTTCTTTTGAAATTAATACAGCTCCCCAAGCTTACTCTGGGTTGAACTCGCTTTGCTGAAGGTGAAGCGCCTGGGTTCAAATGGGGCTTGCGTGACTTCAAGCGACGATGAATGAGTGAACACCACAGTTAGTGGATCTGCAGGTTGCGTGCAGCGAGCGGGCTAAAGCGTGGCTACTCCCATCTCTTTCGAGACGACGGGCCAGCATGGAAGAGTAGGCCAATGTGCGCCCTCTCTCTATGTCTCTCTCGAGGGGCTCTCTAGAGCTGCCACTCGTGGAGAGCCCTTGGGCCAGCAGTGGCGTGAATCAAATATTGTAGGGCGGTACCTAGAGCATTACCTCATGATGAAGGCCACAGACAAAACTGAACTTGCTTTATTTTACCAGGTAAGGCGCACTGGCCACAGGTGGCAGCTTAATGAAGTAGCTTATCACGTGGACATTTTTACCAACACTTCTAAGCCTCCCTTGAGTGGGTGCCCTTCTGCCAATAGTGGCGCAAGTCGGCAATTACAGGGCTGCACCTCGTTCCGCAACTTTAAATCTCACGGCCACGTTGCACGAGACCATTGTTGTTTTCTCTATCGGGTTGACGTGTACACGTACGGTATACACGTGCACATGTACTGCTCGGTTTTTGTCAATCCACTGCTGGATGCTGGCCTCTCCAGGCTGTCGTGGTGGGGGGGGGGGGGGGGGGGTGTAGTGGGGTATTTCACCATACTTCACCACGCTGTGAAACGGGGAGGGAGGGGGGCGGCTGTGCAGGATTGCACCGAGGAGGCAGAACTGATGCTGACCAGCACTCAACGCTGATGCTAATCATTACCGCAGGGTTCACACACTCCGTGCTCACCACTTTGCCACCGCTGACAATGAAGCATAGGATTGTCAATATTTGAACCACCATCCATTAACATGGGTTCCAACCCCCCCCCTCGCCCTTACATCATGGGGACGTCTCGGAATGTACTTCCAGGGACTTCTCTACTCACGAACGAGTTAAGTTCTAGAGGTCTGTTCGTAAGTCGATTTGTTCGCAAGTTCAACTTTACCCTCGTTGATTCCAAACAAGTTGTACGGCATGTACACTAAACACGGGGAATGGCTTTAAACGTTGTATAATCTCCTGTAGAGGTAGATGCCTGGTTATTCACATTCTGTAGATGCCACCGCCACCAGCTATGACGCGGCGGTTGAACTCACGACTCTCGGTCCCGACAGGCAACTGGACGTACGAAAAGGTTTGTTCGTATCTCTGAAAGTTCGTAAGCCGAATGTTCGTAAGTAGAGGAGTCCCTGTTTTCTGTATTACGTGACAGCTCACTGCAATTCGATCTGACACCGCTATACTACGTGGACCTGTGTTTTTTTTTTTGCTCCATCAGCGTGACCAGCGTGGTGAAGTATGGTCACATAATAATCCCCACCGACCTACACGTCGCGGTTGAGGGATTAACAAAAGGGCTGAACATGTGCGTGCCTGTGTTTCTAACGTCACCGTCACAGAATGGAACATTTAGCACAGGTTAATGGCCACAGTTCTCATTAACTATGTAAACGCATTACATTCCTATGCAGGTCACGGGTTAATCCGTAATGTTAATGTAATGCAGGGGTTAATGTTATTCCCCGTCGGTAGAAGCAAAGGGTTGATTGATCACAATCAGGATTTGTTCATCTACCGAACCGGCCGTGCTGTTAAGCTGACCGGGAGGGAATGTCAGAAAGCACAGTGAAGAGGTTGTTGAACCCATCTGTGCGGACCTTAACCCGAGCACACACCATCTGCGCAGCGTGGGGACTTCATTCAGCAGTAGGTTTTACTTAAAAAAAGGGCTGCACGTGTAATTATACATACCTATACGCGACGATAGGTTATGATGAATACGCAGCTTTTCAATTTCTGGTTCGGCGGAAGGACGTCCACTAGCAAGGAACTCGAGACGTCCACCCACTCTCCCGAGGGGTTATTTGGCCTTTTCGTCCACGTTGGCTAGACGTCTTGGAAGAGGTGGACAGTCACCCACACTTTACCCCACCATACGCCAACTGCCGATCGACCAGCTGCGCTGTTACTCAAATTAATTTACCCCTAACATATTATCCCTTTTTCTTCTTTGGGTCTTTGGGTAAAGTCACGTGGGCAGGTTCAAATTAATAAAAATAAAATAAACTAAAAACTAGGACGTTTCGATCACGACACAAGCGGTCGTCATCAGGAGGAAAAAAGAGGGGGGAGCTGCTGAGGCAGAAAGATCTTCATATTCTTGGTTCTTTCGGTAAAGTCACCACGTAGAAGGGAAACAATAAAATAATAATATAAAACAATACAATTCTCACGACGTTTCGACTACAACACAAGCAATCATCATCAGGTGTGAAAACCACAGCAAGAATTTTTGAGAAAAAAAACGCCACTTTTTTCAAATTTTCTTGCTGTGGTTTTCACACCTGATGATGATTGCTTGTGTTGCAGTCGAAACGTCGTGAGAATTTTATTGTTTTATATTTTTTTATTTTTTTTATTGTTTCCCTTCTACGTGACTTTACCGAAAGAACCAAGAATATGAATCCCTGCAGTCACGAAAGCTTTAAATCAAAAGATCTTATAGTTAAGTGGAAACCCTCACCGATGAGCCGGTTACATTTTGGCTGAACGGCAGCTTTCCCCTCTTTTTTCCTCCTGATGACGACCGCTTATGTTGTGATCTAAACGTCGTAGTTTTTTGCTTATTTTATTTTTATTAATTTGAACCTATCTACGTGACTTTACCGAAAGACCCAAAGAATATTAATTCCTGCAGTCACGAAAGCTTTTAAGTCAAGATATTATCACTTTGCTTATTCATTTGAATACATTTGCACAAATGGACCTGGCAATGTTACGCAAACATTTATCTTAGCACATGGCGCCGAATCAGAATCAGCATATTTACTTATGATGCAGGAATCCGATGAGCTATGAAGCTCTTTTTCTCACGGGTATCCAGGAGAATCATCCGGTGCAAAGAAAATGCTGGTCCTCATACAGACGAACTGGACCCTTAGCAGGGACATTGTTAACATTTACAAGAACGCTAATATTTAATAAAGTTATTACATGCCATTGTTGTATTCCTTACATCACATTACATATCGGGAGAATTAAACAGTGGTCACAAAAAATATTTCGACTACCCTGTGCATAGATTTCTTTTTTTTAAACTCCTGTCGTTTCAACTGCCACGCCCGGGAGATCGAAACCCTCCTGGATTGCAAAGCGAGTGCGTTCACCAGGCAAC